CAGTGGAGCAAGTTGAGGAAACTTAAATAACCAAGCTATGGAAGGAATACTATAAGTTATGGAAGGTTACACACCTCGGGTGGAAAACCCAGCTACCTGATAGAGTCTACTAACGTTCGGGACTACTAGAAAGAGGATGTACTCTGCGTGAGTATACTATGTGATTGCGATGCGAAAGTATTTGCCTATTTGGGTTGCCAATTCTTGTCAGTACGGTTATGAGTAACTTTTTCATATCTTTGTAGATCTCCAACTCTCAGAACTCTTTTTTTTAGAGTTCTTACCATGGCGTAGTATTGTCGTTGATCTCGTTGTTCGTTGATCTTCGGACTTCAGATAAATATCCGTACAACCACGCATCATTGTTTGCGTCTCGACCGTTTAGAATGGTCTTGCCATACTGATAGCGATCACACGGGTAGCCTCCACCATTTTCCATAGTGACATCGTTGCCGCGATAGCCCTGCGGTCCGCGGTAAAGTGGCGGGCAATCCATGCAGTCACTGATCGACTGGACGCCTTCACTCATCGAATACTTGCCGTTCGGACAAGGCCCCGAGCACTGACTAGTGGTGAGGCCTATGGTCGATCCGTACACGCCAGCAGGACATGGTTTGCAATCTAAGATGCTCTTAGCGCCGAGTTTATCATTGTACGTTCCCTTGGGACACTTTGCTGTGCAATCCTTTGTTTCTAATCCGGGGCTGTCGCCATACACACCACGCGGGCAAAACTCGCACTCTCCAACTGTAATTCCCGCTCCAGTCGGTCGGTACATTCCGCGAGGGCAGTTTTTGTTGCCAGGTTGCACACCCAGGTACATACGCACTGAAGTCATAGCGAAGCAGAGAATTAGCGTGGCTAGATCGATTAGGAGGTCTACACTGTAAGTCGATCAGTACGTTGAACGGGTTGATGCGGTAGTCCGTCGACTCGTAGATGCTGAACCTGATGCAGTTGTTCCTGCTCTTCAAACGCTATATATGAAAACACGAAAAGGCGTTAAAGAGATTAAGTCGAGTATCGAAGGCCACACCGGATCTTACCCATGAAGAGCGCACTTATCAGGAAAGCTGAGCATGCTACTGTCAGGATCCGCACGAAAATCCCCCGAATACGGTCATCCGCCATTCCAACTCGCGCGAGGTGATTGTTGACTGCTATGGTGATAATGGTTTTCCTGGGCACAATCGGCATCAACCGTCGGAACTAAAAACGATTTGATCAGTATTATATTTAGCGCTTTTGACTTGTAAAATGCTGCTAGCGGCATGGTCGATAGGTGGCTTAGACCGTGTACCAAAACTATCAACGCAATCAAGAGATATTAGAAACAGTGGCCTTGTCCTCAATTGCGAAGAATCCACATGTAAATCCGTAGCATAACTTTTCAACGCTGGTGCACGGCATTGCTGAATGCAGCAGGATGCAATTGAAAGTTCGGCGTGTAACACCCACCTCGATGACATTTGTGTTACGCTGCATCATTTTGTTGGCAGGATGGGGTATCTGTACAGAATATCGAGAACATGACTTTCACCGCAGTGAATACTGGCATTCGGGCGATTCTTATACGAACGAATAGTTCAGGAGATGCGGATTCTACGTGTACACGCTTTACCTGATGTGAGTATGCTATCATTCCATGTCGTCATCGCTTTAAGAATCGAAAATTACAGGAGTTGAGCTCGAGCACTACAAGTGATTCACCAACACTCTGCCACTTCAACTTGCCCGGTATCAGATTATCAGATTGTCAAATCATTGCAAAATTCGTGTTGACCACACCAATCTAAGGTTTTTTTGATGTGTCGGAGCTGCGACAACGTGAAGCAAGAGGGAGGCAGCTCCATAATCAGCAAAGCGAGAAGCTCCGCAAGTTTCTGCGCTCTCCTTTCCTAGCAGCGATGGCGTCGTTCAAGCCCGCGGTGGTGATCGACAATGGCACAGGGTACGTTTCTCTTGTACCCCCCTCCCTCGTAATTTCTCAGTGCTAATGACTCTCACTTCTCCCTCGCAGATACACCAAGATGGGATATGCCGGCAATGCCGAGCCTAGCTACATTATCCCATCCACGATAGCGGTGGGCGGCAGCGACTCCAGCACCGTTCGCAGTCGCCAGGGCATCGATGATCTGGACTTTTACATCGGCAACGAGGCGCTGGACCACGCGTCTACCCACCAGGTTAACTACCCGATTGCGCAGGGCATCGTGCAGAACTGGGATAACATGGAGAAGCTCTGGCAGCGCTGTCTCTTCCAGCACATGCGTTGCGAACCGGAAGAGCACTACATGCTGCTCACAGAGCCTCCGCTCAACCCACCTGAGAACCGCGAGGCCACAGCTGAGATCATGTTCGAGACCTTTAATGTCCCTGGACTGTACATCGCAGTGCAGGCTGTGCTAGCACTGTACGCGTCTTGGCCCAAGATTAAAGACCCATCGCAACGCTCACTCACGGGTACGGTCATTGACTCGGGTGACGGTGTGACGCACGTTATCCCCGTTGCCGACGGCTACGTCATTGGCAGCTGCATTCGCCACATTCCGCTGGCCGGACGCGACGTCACCCACTTTATCCAGAAGATGCTGCGTGACCGTGGCGAAGCTGTGCCTCCCGAGGAGTCACTGGAGGTCGCGAAGCGCGTCAAGGAAGCACACAGCTACGTGTGCTCGGATCTGGTCAAGGAATTCAAAAAGTATGATACCAAGCCGGATAAATACTTTTTGAAGTACTCGGACCTGCACCCACGTACCAAGCAGCCATGGGAGATCGATGTCGGATACGAACGTTTCTTGGCTCCTGAGATTTTCTTCAACCCAGAGATTTTCTCCACGGATTTTACAACGCCGCTGCCCAATGTGGTGGATGAAGCGATCTTGAAGTGCCCCATTGACACGCGACGTGGACTGTACAAGAACATTGTGCT